TGTTAAATAATTTGAATAAAATATTTAATTTTATTATTAAATATATTTTTTGAAAAAATATTGATTAATATTTTATTGCATATATTGACTTTTATTTGGGTAGTCAAATAAGTGTAGAGTTATTGTGTTGATTTTGGCTCATTTGAGTTTTTGGGTACCTTTGTCCAATCTAAATTTCTCTATCTTGAGCTTTTGACATGATATGCATATATTCCATTTTATTTGAGAATTACATGTTTTGAGTGTATTTGTCATTAGTTGGATTCATGTAATTTTAGACTGTGATGCATTAGATTCAAAGGCATATAAGTCAGTTGTGTTTGATAAGTGAGGAGTCTTGGTGTCCTCACTTTGTGACCAATACTCATGCATGCATCATGGTCATCTCGAAATCGTGAAGGTGAATTCTTATGAGTCGGATTTCGTGACCATGAGTATTGTGGCTTTGATGCTTTAACCCTTATGCATGAGGGTTAAATGCTTCATGTTATCAAGTAGGATGTGTAGAGGTTTCTATCTTGAATGTTTGTGAGTAGACAATAATATGGGAACCTTGAGGTTGGAACTCTACTAGAGAGCAAATGGGCATTGAGATCGAGTATCCTTTGAGGTGGAGCCAAATGGGACGTGTGCACTAAAGGTTTCCGTGACCTTTAGGTGAAGTCCGGTAGAGGTGTACACTAAAGGTATTAAGGACTAAAGGTGACATTTGAGTGTTATCCTTTAGAAATGAATTTATCCTTCATTTGATGTATTGTAAGAAATTTGAATTAGTCTCTTTTTATGGATTTTGGGTGTTACACTTTCAATTGAGGGGTTCACCGGATTGTGGAGGTAAGGGTTGGGGTGCATCAAATGGTTGTACACATGGTTAAAGCGCGAACGCGTACACACACACACATATATATATATATACATATATATATATATATATATATATATATATATATACATTGAGACTTATTCTAAAAAAATAGCAAAAGAGAAAAAAATTCTTATAAAACAAAAAAATAGCTTAATAAAAACATGAAAAAACTTGAAAATTTCATTTTAAAGAATATCTTTAAAAAAGTTTTTTTTTATTAACCTGGATATCCAACCTGCTATGCGAGCCGACTAATCTCAGGATGACCACTTGCTTTGCAGGTAGCCCGGAGTCACTGCATTTGAACCTTCGTGGCCACAAGAGGACTTTTATTCCTCCTTAGATTTGAACATGAGACCTCCAGACACTTTCGATCTTTGGAGCCCAAGCTCAAACCAATCAAGAACCACCTTTTGGTTTAAATATACTGTTTAATTTGGTTAGAAAGAGGGCAAAAATGTACATATTTATGTTATAACATGTAGAAAATTTACCATGGAACAAGACTTTTAGAGTGGAGTGAAGTAATTGCATGAATCCAAGAATCAGCCAAAAACCTCTGATGAATGAGGCTTAAAGAGCCTTCATTGCAATCCCAACAAACAATTGACTTTCCTTGACCATACTATTGCCCTTCTATATATCACCATTACTATGCACACTATTTCTTGATTTCTCCCACCTCCAAACTCCATTAATGGCGTTTCTGATCATAATACTGTTCCTGCTAACGGTTCCTCCGTCATCATCAGCATTAATGCCGACAAAGCAACAGCCTGATGATCACCTTGATCTAACCAAAGGAAAATGGAAGCTTTTGAAGAGAAGCATTGGTGTTTCCGCCATGCATATGGCCCTGCTACCCAATGATCGGATCATCACCTTCGATCGTACTGATTTTGGTCCTTCAAACATCACATTTTCGTTTGAAAAATGTCCACTGGAATCAGATTGTTATGCTCATTCGGTTGAATTCTATCCTTCCAAACGTGAGGTTCGTCCTCTCACCATTTTATCCGATACCTGGTGTTCTTCCGGTGCGTTGTTACCCGACGGTGTCTTGATTCAGTCCGGTGGGAATAATGATGGCGAAAGGGTTGTTCGAACGTTTAATCCTTGTGACGATTGTGATTGGGTGGAGAATCGAAACGGTCTGGTTTCGCCGAGATGGTACGCTTCCAACCAGTTGTTGCCGGACGGAAAAGTCATCGTGGTCGGAGGTAGACGGCAGTTTACGTATGAATTCATCCCCAAAAGTTCGACTTCCGGTCGGCAATTCAAAGAATACCAACTACCATTTCTTAAAGAAACGTTAAGAACCGACCCGTTTCCCAACAATCTCTACCCGTTTCTCCATCTGAACACCGACGGAAACCTCTTCGTTTTTGCAAATGATCGTGCGATATTACTAGATTACATGCATAACAAGGTGGTACGGCGTTTTCCGGTGATTCCCGGCGGAGTATCCCGTAATTATCCAAGCACTGGTTCGTCGGTTTTGCTTCCGATGAATCTTTCCGGCACGACGAAAACCGTATCTCCGGTGGCGGAGGTTTTTATCTGCGGCGGAACTGTACCGGAGGCCATCGATAAAGCTTTAGCTGACATATTTGTAGTGGGGACGAAGTCATGTGGACGGTTGAGATTAAATGATGAAAATCCAAAATGGGAAATGACAGAGATGCCCCTGGCACGATTAATGGGGGACATGCTCTTGTTACCCACAGGTGATGTTTTGATAATAAACGGCGCAACACGTGGGGCAGCCGGATGGAACTTGGCGAGAGAACCGGTACTGAACCCGGTTCTTTATAAACCCGGTTCGAAAACATTCCACACCATGAACCCGACGACGATTCCCCGGATGTATCATTCCAGTGCTCATTTGCTCTCCGACGGCCGTGTTATCGTCGGCGGTAGCAACCCCAACTCTAACTACAATTTCTCGGCGCTTTTCCCGACGGAGCTTAGCGTCGAAGCCTTCTCGCCGCCGTATTTATTCGGCCCTAAACCGAGACCGAACATCACTGCAATCAAACCGGGGGTGAATTTGGTTCACGAACAGAGAATCGAGGTTAATTTCCGGTGGAAGAACCACGGCCGGAAACTGGAACCGGGGAAGGTTTACGTGACGATGGTGGCACCTTCGTTTACGACTCATTCTTTTTCAATGAACCAAAGGGTGTTACTGGTGGAGATGGCGGAGATACGGCAGAGATCGGCGGAGAATTATGTGGCGGTATGTTTAGCTCCGGCGACGGTTGAGGTGGCGCTACCGGGGTATTACCAGTTGTCAGTTGTATATGACGGTATTCCGAGCAGAAGTAATTGGGTACGTCTTGGTAATTAATTAAGTTTAAGGTTGTATTGTGGTTTTGATGAATTGCATGCATGGTCGTATAAATGACGTCAATGTATGGTTTTATTTTATTTTCTATTTTATTTAATATTTATTTCGGGTTAAACTCGATGTTGAATCTCGTTTTTATGTGATTTTTTATTTTGTTTTTTTGTGTGTTACATTGAAAAATAATGAAATAAAATCGACTTGGTATTTTATAATCTTTTTTGGTTTTTCTATTTTATAAAAAAACAAAAATTAACCACAAGGATGGTGCCTGATTGGTTTGAGCTTGGCTCCAAAGGTCAAAAATAATAGGAGGTCTCAGGTTTAAATCCAAAGAGAAATAAAAATCCCCTTGTGGCCATGTAAGTTCAAATGCGGAGACTCCGGGCTATCTACAAAGCAGGCGGTTGCCCTGGAATTAGTCGGCTCGCATAGCGGGTTGAATATCCAGGTTAATAAAAAAACAAAAATTAAAATCTCGGAAAACAATTGCATTCAAGTAGGGCTGATATCGAGCTCTTTGGGGTCGTTAGAGAAAACACCCGAGAGTTCATATATAGACAAACACTAACTTTTTCCAGATTTATAACAATGTTTAACATGATGTTATGAACAACAAATTCACATGCAGTGTACTAACGATAATACAAAAACCTTCATTTAATGGTTTAATCATTAAAACTTCATATAAATGTAAAGTGGTAATAATATTATTAAAGAACGGTTTTAAAAGATAACTGAAAATAAACTATATTAACACATAATGGAACCCAACACATGTTCTTGTTAAAACAACATTTTGATATTGATTGTGTGTAGATAGTGATGGCAAAAAACCGGTCCCAGGCCGGGCGGGCCGGGCGTAATCGGTTCCAATCTTTCTCATAACCGGCCCCGGTCGAACATGGTAAGACCGGTCAAGGTTCTTCACAACCGGTTATGGGTCGCCGGTCCCATCATTAAAAAATAATTTTTTTAATGATATATTTTTTTAATACATTATAAAATTTGTAATTGTGTCACTCAAATACACTTTAAAAATGCGTTTTAATATAATTAAAATTACATCGTCATACAAAAATACATTATAAAATAATTTGAAAATACATTTATTGAAAAAATTATTTGAATTTTCAGGCCAGGGCGGGCCGGGTCTATAACCGATCCATAAAATTATTTGAGGCAGCAACAAAGATAACTTTATTTATTGTTCATATAAACATGTTTGACAAAATCATACATACATAAAGAATAACAAGATTTCAGACATTATCAATATTTTTCAAAACCAAAACCGATACAAAGTATTAATTGTTAAGCGTGATTAATTTTATTTCACATAAACATATGTTGCTTAAACGAAAACCCATAGGAAGTATTAATTGTCAAAATGTGATTAATTTTATTTCAAATTAACATACGTTGGCATTAAAAAAAGAAAAACAGCAACTTAAGGTAGCGTTTGGTGCGCATACTATATTGGACTGAATAGGATATGCCAGAACTGTAAATGACAAGAGGGCAGGATTGGACTAGACATGACAAGTTGTCAGTCTGGTGTTTGGTACGACTAAGGCTGTGTATAGGGAATGTAACACCTGAAATTTCAGAAAACGATTGGTGAATGTTGGGAAAATGGCTGAGAAAACAGTCGCGAAAGGGTAAAAACCGGTTGTGAAATGGTCATGAATGGCCGAGTGGCTGACCAGGCGACCTGGCAAGGCCAAGTGACCTGGAAAGGGGCCGGGTGACCTTTTGGTGTGACTTAATTCGCCCCAAAAGTGGTTTTGCACGTGTTTGTTAGTTTTAACTCTATTTTCGGCTATTTTTTCATTTGGTCATATCTCACTCGTTTTCCACCCGATTTGGGTGATTCGTGAGGCCATGGTTTCATTTTTTGATGCTCTGCGAGTGAAGAGCAAAGAGGATTAAAGTTTCGTTGTTGATTTGTGGTTCCCAGAAGTTGAAAGGTAAGGTTCTAATTAACCATTTCTTGATTTAGGGTCTGGTTCTTTTCACTTTAACCCTCATTCTTCTCTTGGGTTTTTGTGTGTATGTTTTGGAAGTAAGGCGTTATTGAGAAGACTTTCACCATAGATATGGAAGTTTAGCTTGGGGATATAAAGTCTTCATTAATGGAAGTTAGAGATCGCATTTGGAAACTAGGTTTAATCTAATTTAGTATGGTGAATTTAAGTTGTTTTGTGAAAACTTTATACATGCCAAAAATATATATTTTGGAGTCTTAAAGTGTTTTCGTTAATATTTATCCCTCATATGGAATTATTGGATGTTAATACACTTTTGATATTTATTGATTTTATAAATCGTTTGGAAAAATACATATGGTTTGAGATGTTGGGCACATTTTGAGTGTGATTGCAAAGTTATACTGTGTTTTGGGGATTTTGCTCAACTTTTGAATTGATAACAAGGATAATTCACAACTTTTTGGGCCTAAGTTGTTTAAACTTTAGGTAATTGCATTTTATTAGTTTATACCGACTTTTATTGGATAGTCAATTGGGTTGTTGAGTTATTGGCTCGATTATGACTAGGATGAGTCTTGGGGACATTTGTCCAGTGTTATTTTCTCTAAGTTGAACTTGGGACTTGTTTATGCATTTTTGTGTTTTTATTTGAGAATTACATGTTTTGATGTGTTGGTCATTCATTTGGAGTCATGTAATTTTGATTGTAACGCATTGGATTCATAGGCATGAGTCAGCCGTGTTTGATAAGTGAGGAGTCTTGATTTTCTCACTTTGTGACCAATGCTCGATTAGGCATTATGGTTGTCATAATATTGCAGAAGTGAATTCTTATGAGTCGAACTCCTGGACCGTGAGGGTTAAATCTATTGTGTATCCAAGTAGGAAGTTTGAGGGTTTTTTTTTTATATCTTGAATGCAGTAAGTAGACACTAAAGGTTGAATGAAAACATTGAAGTTGGAATTCAACAAGAGAACAAACGGACATTAAGGGGCCGTTTACCTAAGGTAATCAAATATTGATTTATAGAAAAAAAAATCCTTTAATTGATGTTTCAACGAAAATTTTAAAATTAGTCCTTCTTTCATATTTGAGGGTGTTACAGATAAGGATTAGATAAGTTGTCTCTAAAAATTGTATGATGATTTTATATATCATAAAATAATTATAAATGACACAAATCAAGTAAATATTTAAATACCTTAATTTGTAAACAATTTAAGACAATTTTCATACACATAAATACATACATATATAATAGTATCAAATTTAAATGAAAAATTTGATATAATTGATGGTAGTTCGTAAAAACCTGGTTCGTACAAAATAAACTTTATGTTTTTACTCGGTTTGGAAGATTTTTATGAACTGGTGGACAACAGTGATTGTGGAGGATGTGAAGATGTTGGAAGGTGGTGGTGGTGGTGACCGACAATGGTGGAGAAGGTAGTTGTAGCTGACATGTTCAAGGTAGAGGTGGTAGTGAGTGGTGGTTATGGTGGAGGTGACCGACAGTGTCTGCTCGTGACTGCTAGTGGTGGGGGTAAAACGATGGGACGACGGTGACGATGAATTTTGGGCTTCTAATACCTTATAATTTAGTCATTGATTACGTTATTAAAATATTCTATAATTATAATATTCTTTTCTTTTTTATTTTATTTTCTATTTTAAAAAAAATAATATACAAAATCTTTTAACAAATTCTTAAATCTCTCTTATTTTTAAAATCTATTGGAAATGCTCTTACTGTAGTATAGCTATAGCATACATCTTAGGGGTTGTTTGTTTACCTCTTAATAGTTTTATTAAGAGACAATATCTAAATTATTAAAAAGTGAATCATGTTTGGCAAAAAAAAACTCTCTTAATGGTTCTAAAACCCTCTGAATGATTTTGTATCATGCACCTCCCTTAACCATTCAACTTCTTAATTTCATTGTAAATAATTACCGAACAATCATTTTGCAATATATCATGAGAGTCTCTTAATCATTCTGACCACTTAGTCATTCAGCAACAACCAAACAGCCCCTTAGAAAAACAAATAAAGCCCATACTTAATTGGGCTCTATGGTTTTGGTTTAGAAGCCCAATATTTATTATATTGACAAATTTGAAAATTGAATTATATTGGGTTTTGGATTTGACCCGTTTAAATAAATTTGTATTTACCTAAAAAGCATTTTGAATGTTATAATATAATGAATTATATGCTTACTATAATAGTTTAAAACAACAAAAAGATATAACAAGTTTGAATGATTGCTTATGAGCCGTAAAAAAGATATCCAGCCTTTGTGGCCACGGAGGTTTAAATACAGTGACTTCGGGCTATCTGCAAAGCAGGTGGTCGCCATGAGATTAGTAACTAAAATCGTACCGATCTAATCTAATGATCATCTAATTAGTAACTATATATGATTATTAACATCTTAAGATATTGTTTTTCAGTTGATATTTATATGTATGTTTTCTTTTAATAAATTAAGAAAATATATAGATTCTTAGTTAAAAATTTGATCTAATGGATAACCAATAACAATATCCAATAGGTGAAACTAATCTGACCCAATCATTATCGAATTTGATTGGATCGGATGTCCAATATTAATTGGATTAGATCGGGTGACAAAATACAACATCTAACGAATGATTGAATCAAATTAGATTCACAGAATTCCAATGGATGTCGACAGATGTACGTCCTTACTTTTAATTGATTTAATATTTCCTCCATCCCAATATAAATATTCACAAGAAAAAAGAACGCAGTTGCATAAATGTTTAATTTCTACATTTTTTTAATGAACTAAAGTACAACTTTACCATTAATAATAGTTATAAACATTTTTTAATTTCATAATTAAGAGTAAAATAAAAAAAAATTATTTTTTAAAAATGTAAATTTATTTATAACCAACAAAAATAAAAACAAAGACACTAAGTAACTTTTTAAAATATTTATAGTAATTTTTTAGAATATTAATAATTTCCCTCCACTCTCTTTTCATATCATGAAGTTCAAATGTCCAAAACAATGATTTTGAAGCTACA